TTGCAGGGCCCTGCTGCTGCTTCCAGAAGACGACAGAGGTTGTGGTTAAAGGACAGGAAGTGTTGATGTGTAAACACTTGGTTACCCAGGAACATCAGAAACTGGGGGGGGTTTAAAGACCTGCTGGTGCATCCCCAGATGCAGATCCCCCATGGACGTGGGTCCTCTCAGTGCTTCTGTCCCACTTGGATTTTGCTTGAATCAAGTCATTCCAGCATTGGATCCCACCTGCAAACAGCGGCTGGATAAATGACCCCAGTCAGGAGGGATCCAGGAGGCTCCAGGATGAGGAGCTGTGGGTCTGTGGTGTTGGGTTACGGATTTCCTGCCTCCTGCTGCCGTGGAACAGGATCCAAAGCCTGCCTGGATTTTCCCATTTGCAAAGCTGTTCTCTGGGCCTTGATCTAAACACGGGAATTTTGGCCTGGGTTGGAGGCAGCGATGGAATTTTCAGGAGCGATATTTGAAGGAGGATTGAACAGAAATGGATGCAAGGAAAAAGCAAGATGCCTAAAAATGAGGTATTTTATCTATCTGGGGAAGATAAGCAAGAATTGGAGAATCAGGGAATATGCTGAGTTGGAAGGGACCCACAAGGGTCATGCAGTCCAGCTCCTGGCCCCAACAATCCCACCCTGTCCCTGAGAGCATTGTCCAAACACTTCTTGGGGCCATGAGCACTTCCCTGGGGAGCCTGTTCTGGTGCCCAAACACCCTCTGGATGATGAACCTTTTCCTAATAATCCATCCTAAACCTCCTCTGGCTCAGCTCCAGCTGTTCCCTCAGATCCTTGTGAGGAAGTTGTAGACAGATATTATACATAAATATATATATATATATATAATATCTATGTGTTGGGTTGACTATCTAAATCTGCAATATTTAGATTTCTGGTTAATGTTATTAATGAAATTGAAATGTAATTAATCCAAACTCTGCAGTGTGTTAAGTTAGTGAATAACCAATTAGGCATCTCTTGTTTATCTTACAGCATGCAGCAAAAATTTGCTCTAGTCCTCACACTGTTACTTAACAGAAGTGTTTTTGCCTTTGGAAGTAAACACACTGCTATTGGAAATCATTGGGAATGGGCCAGCTGAGTGATAGCTCAGGTAGTAATTGTGGTGTAAAGTGCAAGTTTAATTTTAGTCCGGGTCTCTCTCTGTATTAGGAGGTAAAATATTCCCTTCAGCATTTAATAAGCTGCACTTGGTGATGATTTATGGGAAGATTAACCTCGGTGTATCGGTCAGCTGCTGTTGCATCAGGAGGCGCCTCCACCTCAGCAAGGTGATATCAGGAGATTCATTAACGACTTCAAGGTGGCTGTTCCTGAATGGGAGTTGAGAGAGTGGCTTTTTCTCAAGACAGCAAGAGAGGTATTTTGCTGCAGAAAGATTGTGTGGCTATTTTTAGCCCTGGGTACTGGTGAGGTGGAACAGAATATTTTTAGAGCTGTAGAAAATGCAGCCACTCAAGCTGGGTTCCTTTTTTTCACTCTAGTGCTGGAGGGGTTTTCCAAAATAAAGAATAAAATTGGTAGGAAATGTCTTTTATGTACCATTATTACTTATATAAGTGATATATAGATTATGTATATGTACATATATTTATTTATGTAGGATTTTAAGTGTTTTGGACCTGTGGGTGATACTGCCATATTTTAAACCCATATTAATTATATATAAACTAAATATAGATTATATACATCAATCACATTATAATTATATATTCTATATATTAACTGCATTGTAATTAAAATATAATAAAATAGATTTTCCCTCAGATTTTGAAACCTTTACTCATGAAATGTTTTAAGAAAGCTCCACAGGCAGGAAGGCAGAATTGGGCCCCTCTCAATTAATATCCACCAATCCCATATTCTGTTTGGATCATAACTTGATGGAAATCACGGAATAATTCAGGAATTGGTGAACTGGTAAAAGAAGAGCTTGGAAGGGGAAACTCTGTAATGTTTTTGCAGCATCTGAGGCATTTTGGAGTGTGTTTTACTAATTATTGGGACCTGCAGAGGCAGCAGAGCTGAGCCTGTGCTGGTTCTCAGTGTCTGTACAAGTTTACAAGAAAACATGGATTTTCTGCATTACCCTCCCTGGATTTTAGGTGGATGGATGCAGAATGAGGAAACACTCCCCCCTCCAAGCAGTGAGATCCCAGTCAGATGAGACATGGATTTCATACATGTCTGAAACTGTTCTTGTTGGCACTCAGTGAATGACATAATTCTGCTGGAAAAGCTTTGTGTTACACTCTCAAAACGTGCCCCTTCAGATTTCTGAACGATCCAGGGAGTTTTTGAGCAGCAAGCTAAAGTGATGCTCCTGCTTCATGTATTTCTTTGAAATTACTGCCCTTCTTTATATTGAAATTAAATTAATACAAGTCCCTTAGACATCCCTCCTTTCTGGACTTGCAAAGGAGACATGGCCTGTCAGCCTCTTAGCTCACCCTCCCAGCTCTGTTCCATTCAGACAGGGCTAAAGAAAAGGTTATAATATCTAATAATTCACAGTTATGGGAAAAAAACCCAACCCTCCAAAAAACATTCCTGGCGTCTTTCTTAAGAATGTCCATGTTAATTCTGTTGTCCTGGCTTGATTTCAGCTTTATTAGATTATAAAGTCTATTTTAATCCACTTGGTTTTCGATTGCAGAGCTATTTTTACCTTTCTGTTGTTAAATAATAGTAGTTGTTTGCAGGGCCTGGTTGTGTTTCTGACCCTCAAAATGGTTTTCTCGTATCAAACTGTATATTTGCATAGTTCTGGTTTTAATCAGACTCCAGAATTCAGAAATAAAGGATGAGCTTGACTTGCCAGGGTCTGTTTGGTGTTGTGATAACACCAGCTGAATTAATAGAAATCTGTCAGCTTTTCTGGGCCTAAATTCCAGATTTCCAGCGTCGTATCCTGGGAGCAGCTGAAGGGCCTGGCCGTGACTGTGTGGTGGTTGAGAGTGAGGTGGTTCTTGTCCTGTTCAGTCTGTCGAGAGTTTTGCTGTATTTGATTGGCTTTTGGAGCATCTTTGCCTAATTAACAAGTTTTTTTTCTGCCTCCTTTGCAATTTGGCCACACTGCTGTGGGAATCTCAGGGTTGCTGGTGCACAAAAACAGTGCCTGGAGAACATGGAGTGTGGGTTGGTGCTGGTTTGGAGGAACATGCCACCACTGGGACCAGCAGCTCATGGATTTTACTCACAGTCAGTGAGACAAGGGCACAATTTTGGTGACTGCTATTTGACATCTTGGCTAATTAAGGTTTAAATGAACGCAGCACTAGTGAAATGTTCAGCAGCCTTTAATGAAAGGTGTTGGAGTTCACAGCAAAAGTTCACAAAAACCTTCCAGAACTTTTCTAATAAAGCCAAAGTCGACAATTTGTGGGGTGAAGCAGATAATCCACTGGTGGAAAATAAACCAGGCAGATAAAAGCATATAGCACTAGGGAATAATACCTGGAATTCCTTCAGCTCTGCAGAGCTTTAGCCTTGCTGATTCAGCTTTTGTCGATGACAATGTGTAATTCTGACTTTTCCATTGATAACTAAAAATAGGTGTAAAACTGTATTGGAAACCAAATGTTCAAACAGCTTTTCATTGTTCATTGTACACTTTGTGTTTCTGTTTCCTGCAAACTCTCACATTTTGCTGCCATGGCTGGTTGAGAGGAAACGCATGGATATCAAAATATAACGAGTTAGAGAAATAATTTATGGTTTTTAAAAGGTTTCCTGTTGGCTGGTATTGTCCCAGAAGTTTGTTACCTGTTCCTGCCCATCCAGCTTTGGAGCAGCTGATCATAATATCTATTGATACCTGTAATACATAAAATATATTCTCTATAATGATTATTACCTATTGCATAATGTAATGAGTGTACAGATTGTAGCACTGCCACGCAAGAAAGATAGGAATGTAAATTTGGGGAGATTGCTGCTGTTAATATTTGTACTCACTCAGTGTCTTTGCTATTGTTGGTTCCAGCCCACCACATGCTGCTTTGAACAGAATATCTGGAGTCTCCCCCTGAAGTTCTCACTCATCTGTCACTCAGGGCTGAGTCAGGAAGTGCATTGTAGTAAACCAAAACCTGATCCATTTCTCCAGTCTTTAATGCACAGTGTATTTTTATTCATGGCCTTATACAATTATTAAGAGAAGTGGAATTGAGTGAAAAGCTGCTTTAACTTGCACTTCAATGTATGTGTTGGTGAGAGTGTGGAACAGTTCTCTGGGGAGATGCTTCTTCCTTTTAATTTATTTTTTTTAAAAAGCCATTTTCATTGCTGATATGTAACTCTCTGTGCCTGTAGCCCTGGGAAGGGATTTGTTTTAGATAAAAGCACTATTTTGGAGATACTTAACATGACTTTTGATTTTCAGCAGGAGCATTAACTCTTGAGCAGTGTTTGTTTTGTTCTGGGATGCTATGAAGGGCTTTAAAAGCAGATTTTATAGTTGCATATCTCGTGAGTTATTGCCATATTACATATATTTTAGTGCATTTAACTCCATAAAATACCTTCCTGAAGTGGGAGAAGTTGCATGTGTTGTGCTTCAGTCCCTCTGTGAACTTTTACAGGCTAATCCACGATCTTGGATGCTCAAGGAAATAAAACAGTGATGGACGAGAACTCCCAGGAATTCATTTAATATCAGAGAACATTTGACATTAAGCTGCTGATAAAGGTTTCAAGCTGATTTGCCTCAGCTTTGCCATTACCTGTATCACAATTTTAATCTATATTCTCCTTTAATCACTTTTATAATGTGCATTTTATCTGCGTGCGGAGTTTGCTCGTTGTATTTTTATTTACAGGAGGGTTTAAGCGGCGACTCGCCGGCTCCGAAGCCGTTCACAGGAGCAGATGTGTGGCTGTAAAAAATGAGTGTGTGTGCAGAGAGAGTTCAGTGAGAGGAGATGGCTCTGGGAATGGTTCCCTGTGCAGGTTTTGAAGTTGCTCTCTGTTCTCTTGCAGCCTCAGACAATAGTCAGCGATTTCGAGAAACCTGCTTTGCGTTTGCACTGACGCCACAACAAGTGCAGCAAATCAGCAGTTCCATGTGAGTGGGGTTGTTTCCAGAGAAAAGAACTTAGAGCAGGGACTTTTAGCACCCCACCCCTTTCATTTCGAACTGGGAGGTGTGTGCAGTGCTCAGGGAAGGGGAGTTCTGATGGGGAGCAGGAGGGCGAGGAGGGGAGGATTAAACTCCACCACTTTTGGGGTGTTTTGGGTGGGTTTCCCTTGTGTGAAGTTCTGTGCAGGTACAGAACTCTGCTTCCTGCAGCCCTTCCCTGCCACCAGCCAGATCCTTTCTCAAGTTCTTTGTTTATTCACTATAAAGATGGTATTTTACAGTGACCTATCCGAATTTTCTTTATAGTGTACAAAAAAAAAAAAAAAAAAAAGGACATAGGTAGAGGTCAGATGAGAATGTCATTGATTTATTTACCTTGAAGAATAAAAACTGTGCCTTTGAAGGTATCCTGAGAGTGGTGGTTTGACTGACCAGAGGCAGCAAAGTGTGGTACACACCATATAAACACCATATAAAAGGGTGTTTTACATACACTGAACTTAGGGCAAACTCTGGAGGAGTCTATGTTGTAATGTTGATGGATCTCCTGTGAAAACAGTGTTTTAACCTGTGTTCTGTTGTTTCTAGGGATATTTCTGGGACCAAATGTGACTTCACAGTACAGGTCCAGCTGAGGTAGGTGTGTTACTGCCTCTTCTCCATGCTGCTGGTTTTTCAGATGTATCAGCAGGTCAGGCATTCCAGGGTGGAGAAGAGCGTCATCCTGGTTGATTTTCTTGTTAGTAGTTGTAGATTGTGTGAATCCTCCTTCCTGTAACTCCACGGGCAGATTCCATGTGCCTGGGCCCTCAAAATCTCCTGGCAGAGCTGTCAGGCACAGAATTCCATGGACATGGCAACCCAAGGGCTGCTTCTCTTTAGGCAGCACTTTGGGAATCACCAGGCTGAGTCTTAACCTGCCGATTATTTTAGAGGTTTTCACAAGTTTATCATAAGTTGATGAAAATCCTGTGTATCAGCAAGTTGGGTTGGCCTGGTGTGGGATCAGCTGGACAAAGGGATGAGGAGGATTTGAGGGAAACCTGATTAGCTGTACCCTGATGGGATGGGACAGGTCCCCTGGAAGGAATCCAGTGGAACTGAGAGGCACTTGGTCCTTGGCCTGTTGTCCATTATCCTGGCCCAGGACAGGGAAGGGTGTGTCCTGCCTCAGATCCAGCAGCAAATAAACCTGTTTGAACTTAAATAAATAAATTAAACTGCCTGAACTAAGAGATCTGCCACAGGCCTGAGGGTTCCATGGCTGTGCCTCAGCAGCTGCCTGGAGGCAGGACAGTGGAAGAGACTTAACTTTTGTCCTTTGAGAAACTTTGGGCTTATGTCAAGAGGTCTGGAGAAAAGGCAGAAGAGAAACTGGGATGAGCTGTTTGTGTAGCAGCAACCTGCCTGTGTGAATGAGTCAGTCAGGGGGAGGAACTCAGGGAATCTGAGGGGGGAACCCAGAGCCATCTTGAAACACTGTAATTTTGGGGGGCTTTCCTGCTCAGTGACATGTGCAGATAATTTGAGGACTGTGTTTAGCAAGACCTGTCGTGCTTTCATTGCTCAGTGGAAAACAAATTCCTTGTAGGAAGAGATGTCACTTTAAAAGTGAAAGATGATGGAAGCTCTTTGCTTTTAGGTTTTGTTTATCAGAAACCAGTTGTCCACAAGAAGATCACTTCCCACCCAATCTGTGTGTGAAAGTAAATGGGAAACCATGCAGCCTTCCAGTAAGTAAGATGTTCTTTGATACACCTTTTTGGGTAGCACCACTAGGAACTGGCTGGCAAAAATTAGCCTGAAAATTTATCCTCACCTTTGTTTTCACATTCTGCAGTGTTTGAGTGACTAGAAAAGATTGGGTAGGTTGTTTCTGAGGAGGAGCTGAATTTCCAAAAGCCATGGCAGTGTATTTTTGTGTTTGACAAACACCAGTGACAGTCCTGGGGCAGCACAGGGGGTTGGAGTGGGCAGTGTTGGCCAGGCAGGTCCAGTAGCACTGCTGAGAGGGACCTTTTAATATTCCATGGGCAGGGATTTTGGATTTCTCTGTGAGGAGAAAGATCTTCTAAAACACCTGATAACTCTGTCTGATGCCTGTCTCTGGTGGAATAGAAGCAGGAGCCTGGCTCGGGTGGGACGCAGCTCGGGCAGGGTTGTGGTGAGGAGAAGACAAAGCCAGTCTTGACTTTTTTTTTTTATGTGTGTTTGAGAGATGAAATGCTTTGCTTTCCAGGGCTACCTTCCACCAACCAAAAACGGTGTTGAACCAAAGCGCCCCAGCAGACCAATCAACATTACCTCACTCGTCAGGTTGTCCACGACGGTACCAAACACAATCGTTGTCTCCTGGACGGCGGAGATTGGGAGGGTGAGTGGCTGCTCAGACCTCGGGAGCTGGTGCTTTGAAAGATCTGAGAGATAAGCAGGTTTAATTGTGCAGAAAACCCTTGGTGCAGCAGCACTAGACTGTTCCTTCTTTTGATGGAATTTTGATGGCAGGAGATAGGACGGGCTCCCTTAGATCAGTGCACTGACGTTTTGTGGTGTGAGCTCTCCCTCTTCACCCCCCACCCACCTTTGTGACTCACTGAGGGCTCAGATAACGAGATCAAGACATCCCAGAAGATTTTTGTTTGTTGATTTGGCCAAACTTCAGACTTCAAGCTCTTCCTGACTTCAGGGACTCGACAAACCTTATCTTGGCTTTGGCTTTGTAACCAGCATGTGACATTCAGGACAGAGTGGCCCTTGAGAGCAGGGACACAAAGCATCACAGCCCAGCAGGGCCCAGCAGGTTTCATTTACCATTTTACATTTCTTTTCTCACAACTGCCATTCCTCTGTTTCATATTTAAAAACTCGTGATTTTACCACTTTTTTTTTTGTGTCTGTGGGCAGAACGTTACAACTGGTGTTATAAAATTGCTGATGTTCCACTGGACCAATTAAATCTGGAACATGCTGCAAAAAGTGACTTCAGTAAATGAGTCCATGAATTAGTGAAGTGCTTTCAGTGCTGGCACCAAACCTGCTGGATGGGCATTACAGGGGCACCGTGTGCTGGTGCCACTGCAGCCATCCTGTTGTTAGAAGTGCCGAGAATTGTCCTGAGGTGAAACCTTGTCCAAGAATTTGTCAGTGTGCAAAGCCCAGGATTCCTGAACCAGCCTGGAAAAAATGCTTACAGCCCGGTCCTGCACAATGGGCAGCTATGAAACAGCACCAGGGGGATTTCAGGAGGGAGTTCTTGTGGGGCAGAAAACAATCTCCATCCAGATTGTGGAATAAATGATGGCTGGAAGATTCTTTTGGGAAAAAAAAAAAATCTTCTTTTCTCTCATGAGAGCTGCAAGTATCAGAACTGAGCATTTGAGAGTGCACCTGCTTTGGTTCACACTGCAAGTGGATGGATCCTGATACTCCTCTGAGTCCTTAGGAATATCAGGGAGGATTTAGGGAGGAGAAGTGCCCTGGACTCTGAGTTAGTCTCTTGTGGACTAGCTGGTTCTCAGACTTCACAGATATTTCAGTTATAAAGAACATGTTGGGTAATTTTCCATGAGCATGAGATGCCAGAAGTGCTCAAATCCAGGCTGGAGCAGCCTGGTCCAGTGGCAGGGGGTGGAATGGGATGAGTTTTAAGGCTCCTTCCAACACAGCCCATCCCATCCTGTGATTTTATGAGACACAGTCCTAAAGTGCTTCTTCAAGAGTTAAATGTGAGGAATTGCTTTATTTCTGGCTATGCCCATAAAATACAAAATTTGGATTCCCCTCTTCCCCTCACCTCAAGAGTCTCTTGCATGTCCCAGCTGGTGCTCTCTACCTTTCCTGGAGTCATCTCTGGGATTTTTACCCAATCTGTTTCAAGAGCCTTCTGGAGCAGCTGCCTTGGGCGAGTTCCTGCCTTTGTAGATTCAAGCTGTCGGTAAATAATTTCACAGCGTTAATTAGCATTTTTCTAACTTCTATACTAATTGAGGCATTAAACAAACAAGTTAAAGGCAGTAGTGGTTTTTAACGATGTGAGAAGCAGTCATTGTAAGAATAAAATATTTAAAATGTGGTGTTTCTGATGCTATTTCAGTTTGAGTAATTTTGTGGTGAGATATATTACTGAAACCCCGCCTTTGCATGCTGGTGGCATCCTAAACAAAAGATAGTAGATGTCACAACTGTATAGGGTTTTTTTTTTGTGAAAACACTTGTGGCAGTTGCTGGGGGGAAGCTTTTCATTTTTCACTTTAAATTGTATGAATGCAACTACAGCTTTAGCCATTAATGTTTATATCAAAATAATTGATGTACCCTAATGTGAGAACACGAGACTTGTCCTTTCCATTTTGGGGTGCTGCTGATGAATGCACAGTGTAGGCATTTATAACCTGCTATTTTAGAAACTTATAAGAAAAATCAGAGCTTCAGAAATGCCAGGCTGTGGTTTGAACTCAGTGCCAGGAAGAGCTTGGCCCTCCAGGGAAGGGGGGGCCTGGCAGAGTTGGGACTTCTGCATCCAACCTGCTTGGATGCCCAAGTATTGGCAGAAAGGAGCATCCACGGCCTTTCCCTGGCATTGAGAAGGAAAAGGGGCAGGGTGAGCTCTGCTTGAGGAAGTGACCCAAGCTCCTGGGAGGGGAAGGACAGGACAGGGCGTGGGAGCGGTGACTTCTTGGGCTGGTTCTCCAGAGCACGTCCCGGCCCCTCTGAACTCCTGAACTCTGTCACTGCCTTTCTCCTGCTCTGCTTCAGCAGGGAAGTTCACATTTCAGACACAGTCAAGTGCAGGAGGAGAAGGAAAAGATGAGCAGCAGGTCCTGCACTGATGCATCTTTTTAGGTGTTCCTCTGGAAGAAGCATCACTGCTCACTTTCCTATTTTGAAAACAAAATAAGCTTTCACTAGGAAAAAAAAGAAAAAAAGGTTAAGTTCTTTGACCTGACAGCTTCCCTTAAGTCCATTGACACAGGGCAGTACCTCACATCACCCCTGTAAAATTAAATGCACTGACACAGGATAATGTAAAATTACCCTGCTGAAAGGGGCTGCATGTCATGAATGAGAAATAGAACTTCCAGAAGTGTCCTAAATGCTGTTTTAATAGCTTGGTTTGCAGTTAAATCTCAGTAAAGCATCAAGTCACTTGTGTTGCATCCCAGACTCCAGCCCTGGAAACTTCCTGGTCTGAAAACTTTGCCCATCTCGAGTCTGGTAGAAACACAGAACAAGTGGTATGAAATAGAAGCTGTCTTGTGGTGCCAGCATTGTTCTTCCTGACGCTTTGCTGTGTTCCCAGAACTATTCCATGGCAGTGTACCTGGTGAAGCAGTTGTCCTCCACGGTGCTCCTGCAGAGGTTGCGAGCGAAGGGAATTCGGAACCCGGATCACTCCAGAGCCCTGAGTATGTCTGATGTGCTGCTTGTTTAACAGGGAAAACAGCTTCTTAAAGGGACATTTCAGACAGGACTGTGCTGCCCGAGGTTTGGACTTCCTACAGTTCCCTGGGTTTTGGGAATCTGATAGTGGTGTTCTTTGTATTCAGTTCCAATTCAAAGACTCAGAGGCCTTTGTTTGGATTAGGAGCCGGTCCAGGAACCCTGTTGACACTGGGAAGGGAAAAATGCAAGAGAATCTCTTTCAGTTCAGCCATACTGGCTTTGTTTCTTCAGAATGGAACAACTGTATTTATACAGTTAACTGGTAATTCAGCACCTCAGGCTGAACTGAAGGCCTGACACCGAACCTGGTGCTGAGGAGGAAAGGATTCATCAGCACAGTTTTTGTTCCTCTGGCACGGGGTTTGCAGCGAGCCTGGAGGGAGAGTGTCCAGCACAATCCTCCTCCCAGCCCCCTCCAGACTGGAGTGGGAGATTTGCTGCCTTATTGTTTTCTCTGACAACAACACGTTGGTCTAAGTTTGTGTAATAGAAACGAAAGCAAAAAGTGCTGCGTGTTTGTTTTTCGGGAAGAGGGCGAAAATACCAACACCTGATCGCTGTTCTTGCTCTCTAATGCTCACATAATGTGTTTTACACAGCACAAGAAAGAAACTAGTCCAGCAATAAATGCTCCATAGTGCTGGGCAGTACCTTGTGCTAATGCAGTTTGATTTAAAGGCACAAAAAGCCAGAGAGTTTCCAGGTGGCTGCCTCTCTGTGTGTGTACAAGGTGAGAATGAGGGTGCAGGGCCAGCTCAGAGCAGGAAAAAAATGGGGCTAATTTGTTCATTTAAACACTGACTGCTTATAAAACTTGTGTAAGTAAAACTAGAGGGTGGGGAGAAGTGAAAGACTTTAAAGGTGAAAGGCTCTAATATTTCACTGCAGTTATTTAAAACTCAGGTTTTGCCAGAGTATTTCTGATTCCCTGTTTCTCAATTTGCTTTCCAGTTTTAAATCACAGGATTGCCTGATGAGCATTTTGGGGGTTTACAGTGGTCCTTGGGAACGTGAGAGTTGTTAACACATTCACTTCATGTGCTTGAAGGCTGGAAGTGAAATCAGTGTGGCTCATCTTGCTGGTGCATTTTAACTAATGGTCAAGTGCCAAGCTGCCTGTAAATGAGGAAAGCCCTCTCTGTATAAGTACATTTTCTAAGGATCTTGGTTTAAGATGAGCTTTTCTGCTTTTCACTTTCTTAAGTCCTGTTGTTTCTGGGCTTTCCAGAGAGTAATTTCTGTTTTTGTGACTTATGTGAGTCTGGAAGAACAGTCAGAGTATGGCTTCCAATAGAAACTTTAGCACATGGTTTTAGTCCTGTTTTATTTCTTTATCATCCAATTTATGTTCCAAATTAACCTAAAATCCACCTTTTCTTCTTTCAAATAACAGTTAAAGAGAAGCTGACTGCTGACCCAGACAGTGAAATAGCAACAACAAGCTTAAGAGTGTCTCTTCTTTGTCCAGTAAGTCTTTATTTATTCCCTCCAAACTGATTCTGATTAAAATGTGGCTGTTCTGGGATGTGTGTGGGAGAGGTTACCTCGTGTTTACCTGGTTTAACTTTGTAGGGATAGAAAATTATCTATCACTGTGCTTTAAAAGCATGTGATACACCCCTGAGGAGCCAAGTGTTCCATTAGCTTGGAGATGTTATTCAAAATATATGTAAGCATACATTTAAATCTGTCATTTAAATCTGGTTAAATCTCATCACCTGAGTGTGAAGTTTGGGGCTCTGATTTGATAAAACCCTTCTCAGGGGTAGGGTGGGGAAACCTGACTGTTAAAAGCAGCTCTTCAGACAGTTCCTGCAGTCAGAGTATTGAGCATCTTGTATCTGAAATCGGTTCTGTGTTAAATACTTTGAATATTCAATAATCTTCAGCTAAAAATAAAGCAGTTTCATTGAGGTTGATCAAACCAAATTTGTTTTATTCTAAATTTGAGCTGGGAGAAATAGTTGCAGAAAAGGTAAAAGTGGCACAGACAACCAGTTTCTTGACCTGCTAAATGTTTTTTTTACCAAACGGGTGCAGTGGTTTATGCCTGGGTTTATGTTGTCAGTGGTAAAATGCACAATATTAACATGATGTGCACTTTTTTGAGACTTGTTTCGGGTGCAGTGCTCCAGAATACTTGCTCTGTGTATTGACTGACATAATCTCTTTATTACAGTATAACTTTTTAACCTCTTCTCAAGATTAGGGATACATCTGTTTCCTGGTCTGGCTCAATCTGCTCGAACTGGACATGAAATTCTCAGTTTTAAAATCTCAATAAGTAAACTGACTTTATTCTTGCAAAACTGAAGCTTATTTCTCCAGTTATTTAATATGTTCTTCAAGATAAACTTTTAGAGGTGTGAGTTTTGCCTCGTAAAAAGCGCAATTAACATCGTATTTATTTTTATATGTGTTTTATGTTCTTATAAATCTTTAAATGGGGTATTGTCATGATCTTCAGACTTTCTCCATATCAAGCATTGATTCTGACTAAGGAAGATGAGGAATTTATAAGGAAAGTAAAATTAATCTGTAGGAAAGATTTCTTGCAGAAATACAGGTTTTTACTTCAGCTGTATTTGATTTGTCCAAGTGTTGGTTTATAGATCATTCTTGGGGGGGGTTTCTGACACGTTTCTCTTTGTCCTCATTGCCTCCAGTCTGATAAAAGCCCTTCTGCAGTGCTTTTAGGTGCATTTTTTTCTTCTGGATGCAGTTCAGGTGGGTTGGGATTAGAGCAGGAATATCCCCTACAATATTCCCTTCAGGACTGCAGGTTTGGCAGAGCCTAAAGGTGCCAAATTCTCTTTTGCTCTCTGAGTTCTGCCAGGGGCAAAACAACAAAACAGCATCAGACGGTAGGATGTGACTCTTCAGAATTCCCACCTTTGCCAGAATTTGCCCTTTAAAATTTACTCTTTTTGTGAGACACATAAAAGCAAACTCTACAGCAGGTTATTCTGAGTGTATTTGTTATTTAAATGCCTACAAAACGGCTACACTTGACTTTTTCCAGTGTATTCTTTATTCAGTGCTGCGTGATTTTACTGTAGCTCTTGGAATAACCCATCACAGGTTCACTGGGACAGAGATTGAGCCTTTCAGCCTGTGGACAGAAAGGTTTTACCTCGATCCAGGCTGTGCTCAGGTCTGACTGTGATGTCATTTATAGCCTCCATGTTCTTACTTGATAATTCATAAGCATTTGGCTCGGGGAGAATTTTTTTTTTTTTGTCTCGATTTTTGTGGTTGTTTTTTTACATCTTGAACGCTCTGAAAACACACCCTGAAAATGCCGCTTCGGTCTCCAGGAGCAGGATGAAAAATCAGGGAATGAGGGGAATGATGTTCCTTCAGCTCTGGGAGTGTGGGGGTGCCGCTCTCCCCTCTGCTGGGTGGGATTTTATATCCAATAAAATAACTGGGGGTGCTGGGTTTAGTCTCTCTATCTAACCTTTCTTTTGCCCTCAGAACAGCACAGAGGAGGAGCTTCCTGGGAATTTGTTTTGGATTGCTCCCGAGCTTTTTATAGCACAGAGGCCTCAGAGACCAGGGAGGGAAAACTGCCTTTAAAACTGCTGCCTGGATCCATCCAGGATACAGCAAAGGGGCTGCTCTGAGCCTGGATTTCAGGAAGACACTTGAATTCTTTTTTTTTTTTTTTTCCCCTCCTGGAAGTACAAATAAATAAATCCCAGGCTCTGCAACCGGAGCAAATATTTAACTGAGCAGAAATTCCAAATGTAGCCTTTTACTGGGGGGGGGTTGCAGCTTTGTTTACAAATCCTCAGCTCCTGCTTTGGGGTTTTTTTTTTCAGAATGGAGCCGGTTTCAGATAGAAGTGTTTTGTGTGCTTGGAAAAGGAATTAATGCAGCGTTTCTTTGGCTGCCAGGAGGCAGGAATCAAACAGCCACAGTGCTGGGAATCACAGGGTTCCCAAAGTTGGGATGCACCCCTCCTTTTAGGGCCTTTTTATTGTCAGTTCTGACTCAGTGTGGCAGAGCTGATCCAAAAATGGGAAAGGAGCATCAGCCTGTTAACACTGAATATGCTGATTTTTGGTTACATTTAACTGCTCCTGAGAAATCAGGGGTTCAGGTTTTATGCCAAAACCTGGGGAAAACGTTTCTGGTTTCAACCTGCTTTTCCCCCCCAGGAGATGGGTATTTATGCCCTTCCTGCAGCACTTGTCTCTCACCTTCCTGGTTTTTATTTGGAGCCACAGAGAACCCTCCAGGTTTTCTGTCCTTACTCTTGGTGCTCCCTGAGCTGGGAGCCTTACTGTGCCCAAAAGGCAAATGAGCCATTGACCCACCATCTGGGAGATCAGAATTCCTGACAGACATGGATCAGGGGGGCCTTGCTGTGCTGGAGGGTTGGTTATGGGATGGAAATAACGTGCTTGGTCATGGATTTTGGGGGAGGGGGTTCCAAACACATGGCACAAAAAGCACCTCCTGCCGTTGGCTGAGGCTCTGCCACCACTCCTGGGGCTCCCCTGGGAATTCTGTGCCCCCCTCCCATCTGCTGGGGGGTCTGGGACAGTGACTGGAGAGCCAGAGGGAGGAAAAACAAGGGAGATCCTGCAGCTCCACTGGGTTTACTGGGAACGGGGTGGAGGGATTTCTGCTCAGGGGGAATAAAAAAATATGCCAGCATCATGGAGGAAGTGGTGGCCTGTGAGTGGAGCCTTTGTTCTTGAGATTGTGTTGAGTTTGGGGATATTGGGAGATTGGTGCCATCCTGTGGCATCCCTCTTGTACTGCTGAGGATCAGCCTGGCCACGGGGCTGGGCTGAGCCAGGCCAGGAACCAGTTCTGCTCCCACCCACTGCTGGAACTGGGTGTGTTTTAGCCAAATAGGGATCACTTCAAACTCCTCAGGATAAACAGTTCTTAGTAAGTAATTGTTTTGTTGGTTTTTAATGTGGGAAAAGCCTTGTTTAGACATTCCTACCTCTTGCCTTTAGTGTGGTCAGTCCAAGCCCCTCCTAAACTGCAGAGTAAGCACTTGGCCACAAAACAACTGCTTGGGCTTTGTGAGGAGAGGGAAACTTATTTCAGATTAATATGAAGTGCTTTTCACTGTCTAATCAGTTTTGCATTCGGTGTAATGATACTTTAATGATAAAATACTAAAGAAGAAGAATTCTTTCTTTGGTCCATCCAAGGACATTGGTACGTTCCAGGTGCTCAGTGAGCCCTGTATTTTCTTTCAGGAATATGGCAGGTTGTATTCTCAGTTTCCTTGATCAAATATACTTTAAAATATGATTTAATTCACTTTTGTGCCATTTCAGGCCTACAGGAATGAGGCAGCAATGAACATGCCATGTATTTTAAACAAACCTCAGATTTGTGAGAGTTTTCTGGAGTAAAACTCAACCTGTCCCTTTTCAGACAGAAAAGCCCTGATGGTTCATTTAATACCAAAGCAACATAATCTTGGTTTAATCTTGTGGTTTGTTTGTTTTTTTTCCCTTTCAGCTTGGTAAGATGCGTCTGACCATCCCCTGCAGGGCCCTCACCTGCTCCCACCTGCAGTGCTTTGATGCCACTCTCTATATTCAGATGAACGAGAAGAAACCAACCTGGGTGTGCCCTGTGTGTGACAAGAAGGCTCCCTATGAACACCTCATTATTGATGGGTAAGTGAAGCCTAAAGCAAATCAAGGGTGTTCCTCACACTCTCCTCTCGTTGTCCACGGCCAGGGCTCTGAATTCCTGGTGATCTGGTTGGGATCTGTTTTAACTCACCACATTATTTAATTTCCCTGCTGTTGGTGAAGAATTAACGACCAGGCACCTCTTCATTCAATGTTCTGGAAGAACTGTGCTCATCAAACTAGTAAATTCAGTAATAATGAAAGGTATTCCTTCCAATCCTGGGTAAATCTTCGAGCTATCCTACCTAAAATGGCTTTTTTCCCCCTCCATGTTCTATAGTGCTGAATTCTTGGGTGAAAACAGCCCATGTTGTATATTTTTTTAATGGAGCAACAGCACAAACCTGGTGTTTTTTAATAGCAGACACCTTAGAGCAAATAAATCCTGCCACCCCTCAAATCCATGTACAATTCCATGTACAATTTCACACTTGGGGAGTTGCCATCTGTACAAAGTGACACAGAGATTGATCCCCTGGTACTGCCTCCTTGCAAAACATTAAAAAAAAAAAAAATAAATCCAGGGTTGGTCTGTGCCAAGTGTGTATTGCTGGGTTTGCATTTGAATTTCTTAGATAAGAATCTTCTTTCCAAAGTGTGATAAAGGAAGAGAGCAAGTTGAGGCTTCTGAGGATACCTCACCAAAACACCACCAAAAAATGCCAAAACAAACAAACAAAACCCTGGAAGGCAAAACTAGAAACCCTGAAACAAACAGAACCCCAGAAAAACACCCCATAAATGATTTGAGCCTTTTTTAGGGATTATGTGCTTCATTTTGGGGAGCTGAAGGTCACTCAGGGGTCCCCTTTATGGCCTTGAAGAGCCACTCAGGGCTGCCCAGGCTGCTTTGGATTCCTGGATCCTGAGATTTCCAGGTCCTCTGCTTTGGATCCAAGAGCTCAAGGGTTCCTTGGTGGAGGTTTCTGCCTAAAGTAGTAAACCCAAAAAGTAGCAATAATTAACCCAACACATTTTCCTTATTTCTTCTTGTGTTGCCAGGTGCAGAGGTTGGAGATTAGCTGGTCTAATTAGAGCATCCCAAAGAGAAGGTTATTGCTAGAAAATGTTTTCAGTCTGGGAAAGAGGGGACTGTCTCTTTCCTGCAGAACCACAGGAATAGTCCTGGTCCAAAGCTGGAATTCCCACTGGGAGTGATGTGGTGCCAGGATCCCAAAGTTTCAGGAGGTGCCGGTAGGAGAAGAGGCTGCAAGTTCAGATTCCCAAGCTCAGCATTGGTTAGGAAGTTTCAGGAAATACAAGTCCCTAAATTCTCAGCTGTATGGACTCCTTTAAAGATGGGCTTCCTCAGTTAAGTACTGGCAAAGGTAAATGTGGGTAAGGAGGAGATTTTTTAAATCCTGGTTCACATCCGTCCCTTGGCTTGGGAGAAGGAGAGTTCTGTGTCAGGGGCTCTGCAGGATTCCACTCCCAGTGCTTTGAGAGAAATGTGCACGTTTTTCTCTTGGATAATACTTGAATTTTTCCCACTGTCCCTTTTTGCCAAGGAAGCAGATGAGAGAAAGGTAGAGCAGTGAAAGCTTTTGGTTTAACACTAATTCAGACTTGTACTGACTAATAAGGGTATTGGAGGAGAAAAGAGGAATTGAGCTCTTTTTGAGGGCTGATGTCAAAATGTTTTTGATGGCCAGGTTGTTCATGGAAATCCTGAAGTTTTGTACAGATTGTGACGAAATTCAGTTTAAGGAGGACGGATCCTGGGCTCCCATGAGATCCAAGAAGGAGGTGCAGGAAGTGACAGCATCTTACAACGGCGTGGATGGTGAGTCATGTTTGGGGGGTGTGGACTGAACTTCCTACAGTGGGAACCCCAAAGTGTTGATGGTCCTTTAACTTCTCAAAATGCTCATTTTTAAATGTGTATTTGTAGCTTTAGTGATCATTTGTGACAATAAGTACTTGAGTAATACCTGTTTGGGGCTTGTAATTTTGTTGTCTTAAGTTACAGCTTTATAATAAAACTGTGATGTTCTGATTGTAGTGCTGGTTTAAGCTGCAGCTTTTCCTGTTGACTTGCTTTGTGTAGGATGCATAAGCTCTTCCTTGGAACATCAGGTGTCTTCTCACCAACAGTCAAATAAAAATAAGAAAGTGGAAGTGATCGATTTGACCATCGACAGCTCATCAGATGAGGAGGAGGAGGAACCATCTGCCAAGAGGAGCTGTCCTTCCATATCTCCAGCATCACCAATAAACAATAAGGGGTGAGGATAAAACAGGCCAGTGCAGAGAGAATCTGCTGATGGTGGGCAGAAGTCATAAATTTTAAAATAAATTACATCTAGAAAGTTCTGTATTTGGGTTATATCCTCACTTAGTAGCTCAGAGCACATGGGTTTGCTCTCAGCTCACAAGGCCTAAGATTGGAATCACCACTTTGATTTGTTAAGTGTGCCACACAGGGAGGTATTTCAGTTGTATTTGTGCAAATGATGTAAAATGGGGCAAAAAAATTGTGGCTTCGAAGTCTGGTTTGTGCAAGTCTGGGAGCGCTTTTGTTCCCCAGGGAAAAGGAAAAGCAGCACATTTGGGGAGAGCGAGGAGAAGCAGGGTGTGGTGTGGGAGGGTGTGGGCTTTGCCACAACCTGGTCACACCTGAGCAGCCAGGCTGGAATTAGCTCCTTGTTTACATAAATATCCAGGGATCAAAACCCAGCCTAAACCAGAGGGATCCTGTTGTTGCAGTGATTCCTCCTCCAGGAATGGGAATGACTCAGTGACCACTTAAAACCGCTCAGGACCTTTCTTTAATGTCCTCATTTGCTGATTGCCTTGCAGAGTGTCAGTGTTTGGTGTTGTTACTCTGATTCCTGGCGGGGGGTTGGGTTCAGGATTCCTTTAGGATTGTCTGGTGGTGTCTTGGGAGTATCAGTAACATCTTTACAGCAGAGATCCCAGTACCATTTACAGTGAGAGTCCTCACTTTCTGCTCTTTGAGACTGAACTTTCCTTTAAATTTTACTACATTTCAACTGTCTGGGACTGAATTAACCTTCCTGATAAAGCAGTGTGAGGGGAAAGCCTGGGGAACGTGTTCCCTACCAGGATCCATTGAGGTGCATTTGTGAAGCTTTGGAATTTAACAAGGGAGCTGTTGCACACCTTTCACCAAGTTCTTAATGCATTTTGAATTACGGAGTTAAAATGGGAAAATTCAAATTTAAATTGGGAAAGTTTGAAAATAAGCACCCCCTGCATGGGATAACAAGAAAGCCAAGAGTCTTCTGTGTTTGTAACAAGCCTTTGTTCCTTGCAGCATTTTGAATTTACCCCATCAAGCATCTCCTGTGTCAAGAACACCAAGCCTTCCTGCTGTTGACACCAGCTACATCAACACATCACTTATCCAAGACTACAGGCATCCATTCCACATGACACCAATGCCTTATGACTTGCAAGGTGAGCTCCTGACTCTGCACCTATAAATACAGCTCTCCAAGCAATAATAACTATTGTAAAGGGAAAAAAAAGCTAGGTTAATATCTCTGGTAGTGAAAAAACTCTGAAGTGTCATGGATATTATGCTGGTTTTATTTCAGAATAAATGGTGAAGAAATGAGGAGTTTTGAGAAGCCTAATTTTTACTTTTTGTCTCTTCACAGGTTTAGATTTCTTCCCTTTCCTGTCAGGAGACAATCAGGTAAGTCAAGGAGAATCAAGTCCTGTGGCAAACGTTCTTTTCCAAGCAGGACTTGCTGGCCTGGCTGTGTAGGAGCAGATTTATGCTGTAGGTGTGCAATCAGGGAGTCTGCAGCTTTATTTTTTGTACACAAGCTGTGACCAAACACAAGCATTGCCCAAGCACAGGTGAAGGATAAGGCACAACCAAAAATAAACAGTTTGGTATCCAGGGGTTAAGCTGAGCACCCAGTTTTTATTGTGGGATGGCCCTGAAGGTGCAGCAGCACCTCCTTAATTTTCCAGTCCTGAGGTGCCACCTCTGGGACTCTGGTCACTTCTCCTCCAAGGAAAGAAGGGGCTGGGGTGTCTTTACCTGCCCCTCCTGCTCTGCTAAGCAGGAAAATGGCTCTAAATCCAGAGGGATTCTTTCATATCCTGATGAAGAGCAGAGCCTGCACTGCAGAATTTGGATTTAGGAACATTCACTAAAACACAGATAAGTGAATTACTCTGCAACAAGTCAGTGCTGCAGTGATTGTGCCAGTGCAGAAATGCTGGGGAGCAAGGCTGAGCAGCCTGAGTGTTCCGTAAAGAGCAGCATTACCCCCCAGAAAAGTTGGATTTAAAACTTGATTCCTGATAGCTCAAGCTCTTGCCTTTCAGGGGCTGCCCCAGAGGGAATAACCTGGGACAGCCCTGGCTCCATCCTGTGGGAATAAACTGTCTGTAAAGGCATTTTTCACAGAGTGCCTTCCTCACCAGCGTAGAGTTGCCCCAGCTGGGGTTGATCTCTGACTTCTGAGGGGATGGCACAGTATTTTTTTTGAATTTTGGGGAGTTTTGCCACCAGGGAGTTTTTGCAGAGGTGAAACAGTGCTGCTGCTTCCCCTTCTTTAGGACTGTGGCCAGTCCTGTTCCCGTGGTAGTGTTTGATCTTACCAACACCAGTATTTCCAATTCCTTTTGGAGTTCTGAAGCCAGTTTTAGGATTCTGAAGCCAGTTTTAGGATTCTGAAGCCAGTTTCAGGATTCTGAAGCCAGTTTTAGGATTCTGAAGCCACTTTTGGCTTCAGACTTGAGGGGCCGCAGAGCTAAAAATCCGCTGCGTCGCTCCCCTCGCTGAAAACCCTGTGAGACCCCCAACCTGCCAGAGCTTTAGCTTGACAAACCCCTTCACCTTGTGCTGCTCTGAATTCAAGCTGTCGGTGTCTGAAGTTTAACTTGTTGTTTTTCCCCCCAGCATTACAACACCTCCCTCCTTGCCGCCGCAGCCGCGGCGGTTTCCGCGTCCGATGATCAAGAACTTTTACACTCCCGTTTTTTCCCCTACACTTCATCCCAGATGTTTCTCGATCAGCTCAATGCAGGAGGAAGCAGTTCCCTGCCAGCCACAAATGGTAGCAATAGTGGCAGTAACAGCAGTCTTGTTTCCTCCAACAGCCTGCGAGAGAATCATGGGCATCCCGTTGCAAGTAGGAGCAGCACGGACACGGCGTCAATCTTTGGTATCATACCAGACATTATCTCATTGGACTGATCCTTTTGGACAGAGGAAAATCTTTGTGCTTGGTTTTACTTTATGTTAGAAACATAAAACAGAGTTTGTTTTGGTTTTGTTTGTTGGTTTGTTGTTTTTCTTTTCTTTTTCTTTCGTTTTCGTTTTTTTTTTTCTTCTTCTTTTTTTTTTTTTCCTTTTTTTAGGGGGAAAAAAAAATTTACGTGTACAGAGAACAAAAGTATATTTTCAGTTTTACTTTTGTATATAAACCTAAGATGGCCTCACTGGTAAAAATAAGAAAAAAAAAAAAAAACACAAAACAACAAAAAAAATAGCAAAAACAAGGAGCTTCAGTTCATTTTTATGGATGCTGAAGATTTTACACCTGTGCATTTGTCATGTGAGTTTCTTTTTCTTTTTTTCCCCTCTACTTTGGACACAAATGGCATTATTTTCTTCACAGTTAACATAACCAGGAAAGGAGCTGAACTTCTGAAGTTCAATCTTGGGAGAGGGTTTTTTTTTTTGTCCTCTTGGAGACATTTCCCTTTGGTGGTGGAATCTAACTCTTCCATCCCTTGTTTAGTGCAGATTTTATTATCCTTCAAGCAGAGTAGACCCTGCTCTGCTTCCCCTCTGTTTGCAGGACAGAACCTTTCAGGAGTGGGTTTGGTTTTTTAGGAGTTTTTTGCCATTTCTGTGTGACCCTTTATTCAGACCACTTTGTGAATTCCACGCTTCAGTCAAGCACGTGGCAGGTTCAACAGGGACAGGACTCGAGGGAGAGGCAGGATGCTGAGCCAGGGAGGGTTAGGTTGGATCTCAGCAGAAGGTTTTTCATCCCAAGGGTGGTTGAGCACTGGAACAGCCTCCCCAGGGTGTGGTCACAGCTCCAGGCCTGTTCAAAGAGTGTGTCAGCAACACTCCCAGGCACAGGGTGGGATTTTGGGGTGTCCTGGGCAGGGCCAGGAGTTGAACTCCATCATCCTGATGGGTCCCTTCCAACTCAGCATTTTCCATGGTTCAGTTATTCCTGAGGGCCAGACTCAACCAAATCCCAGGCTGAGCAATTCCTTGGCTCTGCCTCTGGGGGACATTTTTACAGAATCCAGCCCCTAACCCACATGCCGACACGTTGGACTGGAGGGGTTTGTTTCTGAGAACTTCCTATCAAATCCCATCCCAGTAACTTTAAGATCTTAATCAGCAAAATACTGAGCATGTGCCAGTTTGAAATCTGTGCAGCTGCTTGTGCTTTCACCTCAGCCATGCCCGTAGCTACGGCCTTGGGAATCAGGGCCCACCTTGTTCCCTCTGGAAAAACCTCCTTTTAGCTGCAGTAGATCCGAAATTTCTGCTTCCAAGTGAACTTGTCAGCTGAATACAAGGAGAAAATCCAACTCCCAGCACACTCTTGCATGGTTTGTGCAGCTGATAATGCTCTTGGTCTGCTGAGTTCCCACTCATCCCGATGAATATTCAGTGTTCAGTGTGAGTCTGAAACCAGAACCCAACCCAGGCAACCACCCACCTGGATCCCATGTACTCCCTATCCAAGTCTTTTAGGGAAGTGGCTTTCGAAATTCAGTTTTCTCTCTTTGGCCTTGGAATTCTTTTGCTTTCCCAGATTTTTCAGTTGAACTTGGAGCCATATTTACTTCCTGGTTTCTTTTCTCTTTTTTTTTTTTTTTTTTTTTTTTTTTTTTTTTTTTTTTTTTTTTTTTTTTTTTTTTTTTTTTTTTTTTTTTTTTTTTTTTTTTTTTTTTTTTTTTTTTTTTTTTTTTTTTTTTTTTTTTTTTTTTTTTTTTTTTTTTTTTTTTTTTTTTTTTTTTTTTTTTTTTGGAGTTGTGCATGACATAGGAAAACCTTTTTTTTTTTTAGAACTGATGGGTCATTTGGTCATTTGATCTGTTCTTCTTAAAAGAGTGACAAATGTGTAAATAGCTGGAATGCAGTTTTTCAGGAGATTCTTTAAAGTCAGAGAAAGGGGAGGAGAAGGAAGTGATTCTCTTGTGTCCCAAAGTCCACGTCAGAGAGAGTTAATATTTCCTCTGGTGTGAAAAATATTTTTATAACTGGTTGAAAGTGCAGGTAACAAGTTTATCAGGAAAGAGAGTTAAGGAATACTAAAATTAGCAGATTCTTGTCTGGAATTTTTCATGTCCAAAACTGTTGATTGCAGCTCTTTGCTTGGAGCATTGACAAGGGCCACCTTTTGCCTATGATGTCGTCTCAAAAATCTTGCATTGAATTAAAAAAAAAAAAAAAAAAAAAAAAAAAAAAAAAAAAAAAAAAAAAAAAAAATTTAAAAAAAAAAAAAAAAAAAAAAAAAAAAAAAAAAAAAAAAAAAAAAAAAAGGAAAAAAGATTTAAAAAAAAAAACAAAGGAAAAAAAGAAAAAAAATCTTTAATCCAAGTAGCATTAGGTATTGCTGTATGATCAGTCGTATGGTTATTTGAAAGGTTCACATGATGTGGCATCAAAATCGTTTTTAGTGTTTTTACAGCATCCCTCTGCCACTAAATAGTTGACTTGAATTTTGCAAAACAAATGTTTGTGTTTATATGTATATGTGTGTGTATATATGTATTTATAGATCCGTGTGTGTGAGTTCAAAGTGAGTTAAATAGTTTTTCCCATGCATGTGTATTTCATACATATCTGGCTGATATATATATTTCACCATACACCAATTTTATAATTTATTAAATGTCAGTTAAAAAAAAAATAAATAAAAGGATAGAAAATGGGAAATACTTATTTTTTAAACAGTCTGATTTTGAAGTGATTAAACCTACACTAGGAATATATCTCATACCTTGTAGTCATGGATACTAACCTGGTAACTTCAGAGCATATTTGCTGTGATCTTCTGTAACTGTGGAGTGTGGCTGCCCTGGGTGTTCCAGGAGTGTGTCCCAGGCTCTGGAACACCGGGAACCCGGGAGAGCCCGTGGCTGCTTTTCCGGCGCTGGTGGCGACGTTCCCATTGACTGTGTTGTTACAGGCGACCCGAAGAGCGGCTTGTGTTCACTTTTTGGTATTAAAATCTTGTTATGGCATCTCGACTGACACGTGGCAGTGTGTGGTATCCCGGGATGAGGTGACTGGTGCCGGGCTTTGGGAAGGTGAGGTCGGCCGACGGCGTCTTCCAGTCCCTGCCCCTGCCGGGGGAAGGCTCTCAGTCCACCGCTGGCATTTTTAACCTCATTGCTCTGCAAAGAAGGGCCAGCAACAATCTCCAGTCCTCCTTTTGTGGTATTATCCATGTGCTTTGTGAGTATTCCTGTGTCGTGCCCGGGTGTTCCCTGGAGCTGGGTAATTCTCTGTGCCTCTGACCACGGTGAACGTTGCTTGGTAGAAGTCTCGGTCTGAGTTCTCCACCACACCCTGCAAACTTCACTCCAAAACTGTCTCCTTTAGGTCACAAGTCCTGGCTTGTGCTCCTGCTCCCTTCCCTGCAGATGGCAGTTGCTGTGATCCGTAGGATAGTGGGTCCCTTATCCCAAAATCCTTCCCTGAGAGGAGCGGGATGTGCGCGCGTGTTCCGGAGAGCTCCGCGTGTGTCCGTGCACCCGCAGCTCCTGCGGGAGCAGGGGGGCTTTGAGCCATTCCTGCACCCTTTAGAAGGTAAAAACCCACACTAAACCATCCCTTAAAAATCTTCCCAGCACTTCCTTAGGGATGGAACAGCAAGCCCAGGCTTCCCCCTCCTCTCCATGGCGAGGATTCCATAACCCTTTCAAGGATGGGATGGCTGATGGCTTTTCCTTGGACTCTCTGGTGGACCTGCCTCCCAAAGCAGAGCTGAGGACTGTGAGGAGAACGTTTGGAAAATTAATTTTTATTGCAGTTTAACATTTCAGGGTTTTAAGCACATTTTAAATAGAAAAGATTTTGGGTTTATCAGTGTAACTTTTTTTTTTTTTTTTTTTTTAACAGAACTTAGATTTCTAACAAGGGAAAATTGCTGGTGGTCCCCAAAAGTGCTGCTGTTAATTGTTTTAATTAACAAAGGGAAAAAAAATGTATATAAGCAGAATATTAAAAATTATCATTAATTCCATGAATTTAAACCTGTCATTCATTGCCTTAAGACTTTTCTCCTAGTTTCCATACTTTGGCATGCCAAACCAGTAAATGGCTTTTAAAAATGTATAGTAGACCAATGTCAGTTTGTATAAAAGTACCAAGTGAAAATATTTATTATATGCATTGGAAAAAAAAAAAACTGGTTTACCTATTGAATGTTACCTGTTTCTGTAGAAATCTTTAGATGTAATAAAAAGCATTCAGTTATGTTGTGTTTCCTGAGGGGGGGGGGGGGGAGGGGAGGGAGGGGGCAGAGGGTGATCCCTGTGTTTCTTTTGGACCTGGAATGCTCTGCCTTTAGTTGTTTGTGGCTTGGGGTGTCTCACTCTTGTCCCTCCGAGCTCTGCCAGCCCTGCTTCGTTCCCGGAGTGTGTCCGACGGGATTCCTCTTTGCCAGCTCTCCCTTGGGAATGTTTTCCCCCACCCCAGCCTGTTGGGATGCGGCTGCATTCTGGAGTAATCCAGAGGGATTGGGAGCTGGGCAGTCCCGTGACATCCAGGCTTTTCCAGGGTGTGTGTGAAAGGATTTGTCACTGCTGTCCTGGGCAGGGGGGAGGAATGAGGGGAGGGATTGGATCAGGTGGAATTTGGCTGTTGGTGCTGTCAATGAGCCCGTGCTGTGATGAGCTGGTGATGCCCAGGGAGGGCTGTGCTGTGTCCTGGTGCTTGTGGAGCCGAGTTCTGGAGAGCTCTGGAGGCAGGGAATGACCCCCAGGGTGGGGGAAAGCTGCAGTGCCAGGTACGTGGGGGTTTGTCCCAACACTGGGATTAACTGAGGGGTGGGAACAGTTACCAGGGAATTCCCGTCTGCTGCTGTTTAATCTGCTCTTGGTTTTCCAGGGAATCTCACCTCTCATCCACTGTGTGCTGCTTTTCTGGGTGTTGCTCAAGTGCTGCTTGTAGCTGAATATTTAGAGAAATTATTTGGCTTTTCCTGCTTTATTTTCTATCCCTAGAGTAGGAAGAGCTAATTAAGGACGAAGGGGTGTGTCAGTTTTCCAGGGAGCAAAGTTCATTTCCCCTTGGAGCGCGACCTGCTCAGAGCTGGGATGTGCCAGGATCCAAGTCTGAGCTTCCTGGGTTAGTCTGGGAGAGCTGTGAGATCCACAGGGACCTGCACCTGGATCAGGGGGGCGGCAGAATCAAATGGCAGAACCTGCTGCTTTTCTTACCTGCAGGGCTGGAAGATCCTGGATCTCCCTCCTTTCCTTGCACAGCACTTGGCATGTCATGTAACCACTTGTGCTTTTTCCCCCCTATGTGATATTCCAGGAGGATAATCCCTGATTTACCCTTACAGAGACACCGATTTGGAAGGTTGAGATTTGCTCATACTTTGGGGGTTTTTTTACAGTTTTTAAGCAGCTTTGTTCCCGTTTCAGCCCTGGGTGATGCTGCTGCAGCTTTGTGTGGTGTTCTGGGATAAATGAATCGTGGAATGGTTGGGATTGGAAGGGATTGAAAAAATCATCTCATTCCAACCCCCTGCCACGGGCAGGGACACCTTCCACTGTCCCAGGTCACTCCAGCCTGGCCTTGGACACTTCCAGGGATCCAGGGGCAGCCACAGCTGCTCTGGGCAACCTGTGCCAGGGCCTGCCCACCCTCCCAGCCAGGAATTCCTTCCTAATCCATTGGATCTGCTGTGCCATGATTGAATTGGTGATTATTTCACAGAGCAAAGAGGAGATTGAGGATTAAAAAAGGGGAGAAGGCAGAGGAAGGGGCTCCTGGAGGCAGAAGCCACATCAGGTTTGTATAGGAACGTGGGCTCTTCCAGGGGGTTTTCCAGGTTGCTGCTCGTGCCCTGCCTGTGCAAAGCTGATATCTGTGCAGTTTTCCAGCTGGCTCCAGAGAGAACCTGCTGAGTGTTCTCCTGAACCCCAGATACCCTTTATGGATCTCACCAAGGCTGCTGAGACAGAGGTGGAATAAGATCAGTAGTAACTGCTGCGGGTCCAAGTGGTTTTAATCAGTCAGAGAGCTGGGGGGGAGGTTTTTGCTGGTGTAAGGAAGCTGAGTTTTCCTGGGCCCTGTTTTCCCTGCCAGGCTGTCTCTGGGAGCATGTCCTTGGCACCCAGCCCGGAATGTGGGCACCGAGCACGTGGTGGAGATGTTGACTTGGAGCACGGGGAGACCTTCACCACAGCTCACCAATTCTGCCACAATCCCTGCACTTTCATGCATTTGTGAAATAAGAGATGTTTTTTAAAGCACGTCAGGTGTTGCAGGGGGGATTGTTACTCTGGGTTTATTTAAATAACTCACACTTCGTGACACCAGAAATGAGGTGGGACCCTGTGTAAGTTAAAGCACTGCTATGAAGGCAAAATAAGGCTTTTTAAGGGCAAGTGATCCAAAAGTCCAAGTAGGAAAAATTGAAGTAAAAAAAAAAAAACAAACAACTTTCAGGTCCTGCTTCAACCTCTCGTGCTGAATTTCAGTAGTCGACCGTGGGGAGGCAAATGATGCGAACGAACTCATCATATTTTATTGTTCCATTTGGCCCAATGTTGGCTTCTTTCAGCAGGTCATCCACTGAGGGAGAGCAAAAAGAAAGAGGTAAGTCTGAGTGGCATTTATTAGGGATGTCCTGAT